GAGTTGATAATGAGAATTGGCCACCATAAAGGGTTTCTAAGAAAAGGAGAAGTTTCAAGCATTAGTCTTTCTTTTTCTCATTTGTTTTGACAGAAGGTTAATGCTCAGCTTTAGAAACTTTTTCATTATCAACTCAGTTGATAAAATCAATTATTTGTTAATTAATTAGTCAGTCCACGAACCATTATCATGTAGTCATAGGGGGCAATTTCAATGGCAATGTAGTCCGATTTTTTAACACTGCACTGTACAAGTGATGTTTTTTCCTCTTCAGACTCCGTGTTTACAATACTTGGACATACGGAACACTGTTTGGACAGAACAGGCTCTTCCCCTCCTAGGGCGGACTCTTAGGCTTGACTGCTGTCTCAGTGTGTTACATATGGAGGGTTGTAATCTGTCAGGGAGACCACTGTTTCTGCTGGGTATGTAACATCTACACTCATCCGGTAACAATCTGTATGTTGTTTGTAGACAGTGATTATAAAGAAGTCAGCTCTGAGAAGGGATTATTTAGAGTACTTGTAGTCTTTTTTTTTTTTTGTCGTGTGATGCTATGGGCGGGATGGGAGAGCAACTTTATACCATGGACCTTTAACCCTTTCACTGTCAAGATCTGATTGTGAAATCTCCCCTTTGGCTGCTACACATTTCCTTGTAAATTAGTCACAAGAATTTGATGTTAGGTCAAGGTAACAACTTCTACCTGCTAAGTTTAAGTATTCTCATTACCTGTTTGCTGGATCATGTATGGATATTATAAGGAGAAGTTACATGTTAATCACTTCAGGGAGTTAAAGGGTTATTAAGTATGCCTTTCCCTCTCCTTTTTTTTGTTTCATATATTAAAAAGCTGAATTATTCATGCATTTTGCTTGGTTGTTACTATATACTGGAGTATGGATGCATGCATGACATTGCCATTAAAAATATTTTTATTTTTTACCATATAAAACACAGAGGCTCTATGTTGTGGGTCTGTACAGTAATAAATAACAGATTACATCGACATATGGTAAGAGCATCAAATGACTCACTCTTCTGTGGCTTGTGTGCCACTTTTGTGTTCTTACCACATTTTGATTGTACCGTATAGTGTTACTGTACAGATTCATGGCAAAATAGAATCTTGTTAAATAGAGAATCTGTAGTTCTTTGTCTGAAGGACCTTGGTAATATGAATGATTGTGTGCATAGTAGTTTCTTAGTGAAAATTATAAGCAATTATTGGATGAGGTTTTTGTGATATCTGGAATAATCAAGGTCGAGGTAAGTGTTATGAGCTGAAGCCAAAGGCTGAGGCTGATAACACTAACCGCGACCTTGATTATTCCAGATATCACAAAAACCTCATCCAATAAATGTTTTATTACACATTGTTTAAAGAAAATAACGCCAAATGCATTATCGCGGCAAACACAGTTTATTTTCGAACTCTTAAAAATGTACAACTGTATGATAAACAAATTTTCACCATTTTTATAAAACAATCAAGTGCAGAAAAGGTAAATGCATTTCTACAGAAAGTATCATTGAAGAAAACTGTAGATCTTTTAGTATTTTCCAAATCTTTATCTTCAAGTAATTTCTCAATTTCTCGCTGGGTTGATGAAGCGAATCGAGAAGCTATTCTTACTTTGCTGTCTGTGAACTTGACATTGCTCCACCAGAAATCATGCATTGCATGCGCAACCTACAAATTATTCACTAATCTGTAGGTACAGATTAATGACTAATCTGTAGGTTGCGCTGTTTCCCAGAATTAACTGTGGGCATTTAGCTAATGAGAAGACAGATGGTGACTATAATGTTTAATAATGGCCATTATCTTTTATGGAAGAGGATGGCTGGGGAGAAGGTGAAATTTGTACCAAGGGGGTGAGTGACAGTGAAAAATAAGGGGGGGTGAGGGTGGGAACCCCCTTGCCTAACGTTGACTATAACTCCAAAGTAAACATGGTCAGTTGAATAAATGATCGTGCACTTTTTAACGTGGACTTGTCTTAGTAAGACGCCAGCATTACTGGGTTATGGAGTATCAACTAAATAAATGTAGTTTGGAAGTGCTGTTAATCCTGTTTGATATCTCATTGTAGCTGTATGAAAGTAGAACTAGCACATTAGTAATCAGTAACATAATTTGCTTTGTTTCCTATCAGATAATTATTTTGAATTCCTAAATTTGTGTTGGTCTCAATCTTGCCTCTAAGCCAGTGCAGTAAAGTTTAACCAGAATCTCAAAGACTTGTTCCTGGGGGACAACAAACTAACGTCACCAGATGGACAGACATTAGGTGCAATGTTGAAGGAAAATGGATACCTTCAATTGCTTGATTTAAGAAATAACCCATTACAGGTAAGACATACTGCATTTTAATAACATAGTATATTTTCTTTTCAGGGCTAGTAATTCATGAACGAAATGCTTTTGGATTCAGGGTTTGTTTTACCATACACTTTGAGCCAAGCAGTTTTCATATGCTGATTAATAATACCCCATTCACACCTGAAAACTTGTTTAGTTAAACCAGGTTTAACTGAATAAAAATCAGAAGCAGAGAACTGAAAAACTAAATTTTCCACAAGATTCAAGCAGTTGCTNGTGTGAATGGGGTATAACTCTACATGAAATTTACTATTGTTCTGGTCCCAGCTTGGAGGGTGGTGAGGGGGGGTGGGGGGGGTGGCTGTACACAGGCTAGCTGTGGGAAGGGTGGATAACGCTGTCGACTGGATAGATCTCTGTGTGGCTGACAGCACAGTATGTTTTAATAACACTTATCTGCTGCGTGGTGATTTTTTTCTGAACCCTGATTGTTATGTATGATTACCTTGATATTTATTTTCATCTAAAATAGTCAAATCAAAAAGCACTTCACTGATAATTCATGTTTTAGTTAACTATTACCATGTTTCCTGTTCTACTTGGCACGTAGACTATCAATTTCAGTCCTTTCATGTATCAGAACCTACATAATCCATGAATTTGTTGGTCATTGATGTTGATACCTCAATCTCCTCAGTTGTGTACTTAAAAATCACCTCAGTGACCCCTGTTGTTTTGCAGGACATGGGTATTGGTCATCTATGTGAAGGTCTTGCTGAACAGCCCCATGGTGGACTACAAACTCTTGTGCTGTGGAATACCCAACTAACCTGCCATGGAGCAGTGTTCTTGGTTAATGCTCTGGTGAGTTGGTGCATGTCTTCACTTAATTCGGACTCCGACTTGAGTCTTTATAGTGACTCAACCAAGTGTCGTGTTAATGTATGGAATCAGAAACGAGGTCCGGTAGAACTGGGTAAAAAGGCTAGTGGGACTTAACGAAACAGTGAACTTAATTTAAAAGTAAGTAAAAGAGGTTTCATTAAGGGCCTGGGCACCAGGCAAATTGACCAGTTGTGAGGAAGGTTTTGCTCACCTGGTTTGACAGTCTGGAGAAGAGTTTATCTTATAAGGAAGAGGTTCAGTTCAAAGAGTTTTACCCGCCTGTGAAAACCACTTGCCCACCTGCTGAAAACATTAATGAAACTCCTGAAGTAATTTTTACTGTATGATTTGTTCGTGATCAAAATTAATTTGTGAGTTGTGTTTAAGGTATGCACCAGGTCTCTTCAAACTCTTAATCTCGGACATAATCGACTGACGAATGAGGGAATGCACACGTTGAAGGAAGGTCTTTTGAGGAACCACTCCCTTGAGAGACTTGGACTGTTGAATACAAGACTCACGAGTGAAGGTGAAGGGAAAAAATACGTGCACTTCAACACTTAACATACAATGAAAAGGCTTATGGCTAAGCGACAGAAGCAGATTAATTCTATCACTTATAGCGAGATACGACCCAAGAAACAAAGAACTGTTTAAGTCTACCCATGCGACACCGATATACGCCCCTTCTCTATTAAACTCCTCTCGCTTACGAACCCCCCCCGACTGAAGCTTCTAGATTCTCATAAGCTCCTACCTCCGCCCTCTAATGGAACATCCACCACCCCCCCCCCCGTTCCCGTCTCGTCTCTTTTGTCAAGGTTGAATTTTTTGTTTATCAGTTAATTTCCAGTCTTTTAACCGTTGCAGGGATGATTGCTCTTGCTGAAGTAATTGCTGAAAGCAAGACTATTCTAAGAGTGGACCTCCGTGATAATGACCCGTATGTTGGAGGACTAATGGCTCTGTCGTTATCACTGAAGGTCAACGAGTCCCTTGTGCGAATAGACCTGGATAAAGACTTGAAAAAGGAGCCGGTGAGCCTGCACCAGCGTGTAACGTACCTAGAAATAATTGATGTGTTGGAACCAGCAAAGTGATTCGCGATCGGTTTTTCATTGAATAGCTAACCTTGTGACCATCAGCTTTATTACAATATTATTGAGCCTTTCATCGCATTGTCCCCCAGGTTTCTTACTAACAATGGATAATTTCTAAGGACCTTGGCCTGTTGAGCTCATCAATGGCGAAGTCGGCTGCACTTTGTATGCCCTTTGTTTTTGTTCTTACCACATTTTGACGTCATCTGTGATCTATTTCTGAACAGCCGCATAGTAAGATGGAGTCTTTTTGTGAAGGAGATTTATTATAGTCTTCTTAGGATTTCATTTGACTTAGAAGGAGATGTGTCAAGTTAGTCATTACCATTTTTCACCGCTGTTATTTGCCGTTCACAGGGCATGGAACCAACACAGAGGATTATTCTCGCCGACATCTACGGCTACTGCCAGCGAAACAAACTTTTAGCCAAAGAACGAGAAGAAAGAGAATTGGCCGCTGAGAGCCAGACTGAGGGTGGAGGGGTCAGTGAATCAGACAAAATTATCCACGACGTCAAAGAACACGTGACCGATGCTTTGTCTCACGTTGAAAACGAGGCTGAATCTGGCTCGCCGAAGTTGATTCAGTTGGAGAATCCTCCGGATATTGCGCAAGAGCTGAAGGTATTAAAATCGGACTATCCCGGGCTGTCGCGATTCACAGTTACGGCCGTATCAGATGAGGAACAGCAGCCGAACCAAGACGGCACTTTTAGTGATGAGGACACTGTTCCCCTTGTGGATCTGTCAAATACGAATTGTTCGGCAAACGAACAAGATCCGAGTGGTGGAGACGTGACCGTGAACGATGTGTTGTCTGACAAGGTATCAGGTGTTTCACTGAGTGACACGGACGCCTCTAACAGCTCAGTCAGTCCACTGTTACAACCAACCGCGCCTCCATTGATACCTGCTCCGGTTCAAAGTGATAACCGAACTTCAGGTATAAAGAAATGTTTAAAAACCATATAAAACCTTTGTACACCCCTTTCCCCCCTTCTTACCAGCCCCCCTCCCCTTTTTACTAGACTCCCCCCTTCTTACCAGACTCACCCCCCAACATCCCTTCTTACTAGCAATCGCCGCTCGAACAAAAGCCTCGTCTTGATGTGAATAGTTCCTTGCTCTTATTTCCGGGCTAACCGATAAAATCGCGTAGAAAGAACTTTCCCTTCAGGTGTGTCTCATGTTAAATTATATTAATTACGTAACCGTTCTCTCCCGAGATCTTTCGCGTTTGTCTTTCCGGTGGTACTACGAATTCCCCCCATTTCGATAGTTATCTTCATTGGCTTATCGATGTGTTTTTCTCGCAAAGTTACTTGTGATTCTTCTATGCGCCCTAAGGTTCAACTTCTACCATGTGTCCAAATAACTTTTTTTTTTAAGTAAAAGCTTGCCGGCGATGACATCTTTGCGTCAACTGAAGGAAGGAAGATTCATGCAATTCAATATAAAAACAGCCATGAAACTTTCGATCGAAGATTGCCGATTTTCGGAGAGAAATTTTCTACCACTTTTCCTTTCATTATGGTAAGAGTATTACTTAGATTTGAAGATGACGCAAGAACCTTGCCCTACTGAGCAGTTCATAATGGTTTGATGTCGCTCAATTTTTGTAAAATGTTTTTTATTTCACCACTCTAGCCCCGTCTCCCTTACCCGGGGGAAATAAACCAGAACTGGACTTGCTGAGCAGCGTGTCTGTTAAGGAAACAAATCACAATCCTCATCTGAACCATTCAATCAACAATCAAGGTACGTCCGCACAACGAAGGAAACCAAAATTTCCTTGACGAACCTAAGCGCTTCTATAGCTTAGGCGGTGAAAAAACAGGTGACATTCACGCTTTACACCAACCTTCACTTAAACAAAATTTAGGGCTGCCTCGCGAAGTGGAAGACGGGTGCCTTTCAACTGGTTTAAGTGTTTGGAATACTAACCCCATGGTAGGTGAATGCCGGCCTCGGTCCAGGTCCCCGTCAACACTTCTTTGAACAAAGGAAGAAGACAAAATGGATAGTGTGGGTTGGGAGAACGTTTGTGACAATTGTTACGAACACCCCTTTCCCCTCCCCTCAGGACTGCTGTCGAATGGCTGTCGATAAACTGCTCTAGAACTCAATTAGCTGTACGGAATTTGCAACGTTCCTTTTGAGCCTGTATTTGTGAGAATGACTGCTGATCGGAAATGCCCGCTTAGCATGTGGTAGTTTTAACTGTTTTAACCTCCGCCTTTCCCGAATGACCAGACGGATTGCAAGTTCATATTTAAGGTTTATATAAAATAGATTTCATTCCTTCGTGTTTTGTTTTGTTTTTTTTTTTTTCTCTTTCTAGATTTCTGGACCGGCCAGATGGACGGCTTGATGATAGGATCGACAAATTTACCCTCTCCTCCCTCCTCAGTGTCTCCGAATAAGGAATGTGCCACAGTGGACCTTCTCAGTTAGAGGAGAACTGAGCGAATTTTTTACAGACAGGTTTCCTGGAGATTTGTTGTTGTACAGGTCGGCATGGTTCGTTCGTTCGCTGCGGCGATTTGTCCTACAGTCTGTATCAAAGTATTAATTATGGGTGAAAAAATTGGCATCATCCCAAATTCCTTACGAACTTATCAAATTTGTTTTTATAGTATTGCTACGCGAAAATATTTGAATAATGCCACATTTTCTCCGAAGCTCTTTGTAAGAAATAATTTTGCAACGTTAGAGATAGTTAAAAGAATTCAGAACTAATTATAGCCTGTCTTGACTGAAATGCATTTGTCTTTGTGGTAAGCGGTTTCGTGACAATTTCGTTTCTAAGATACCGAGTCATGAAGGCGTTGGCAAAGACAGTGGCCTTAGCAGTGCTTGATGGGAATTTTAAACAACAGTTGAATCATTGTCAGTATCTGGGTAGTAGCATCTAGCCTCCCCCCTGTAACCCAACAACAGTCAGCTGATAACAAGTTAGGTTGACATTAAGCTGGTGGGGGGGGGGGTAGGTTCGACGTTGCTCAGATACCGACGTTTTGGTATGTTTCCCGTTTTATACGCGGAGGAAAATAAGAAGAAAAGCGATCGACTTAAGCTTAAACTAGCTACAGCTAAAGATTTGCGTCTTAAAAATGGTAAAACAATGAATTAAGATGTCTTGATCTTTTCTTGTCAATGAAAGCAGCCTTAATCATTCTGATTTTCTATGAACTCTTCCTTGTAACGTCTCATTTTTCCTTTCCTTCATGTTATGTTGCCCAGGAAATTGTCTGAAGTGATCTTAGCTTAAGGGGTTTTAAAACGCAGTGTGGAATTTTTTTTGTTGTAGTGTGAAATTCTCCAAACTTGTTGTCAAAGAAGTTTATGGAATGACTAAAGAGACTTCACATCTCAAGCTAGATGCTAAAGCGACTTGAACAGAAATGAAAAAAAAAATTTTATGGATAAGTACTAATTATTATTATTACTTATTTTAGCCTTTATTAAAATGATGTCAAACACTTTTACTACGATACTGACGAGAATATTTCTTTGTAATTACGAACTCAGGACATACACTTAGAAATATTGATTTGTTAGATTGTTCGTTATTTTACGCGCTACAAATGGATCACAAATCCAAAGAAAGTTTTTCTTAAATCATTTTTCCCTACGAAAAATCTCGTCGACTTCCTTAATGTATAAACGAGTGAAACTGTTTGATACGTCGTTACCTGTAAAGAAATAAGGGCAAAACTAGTAAAAAATTAAGAATGATTCAGAAACAAGTTGAACCTGCTTCGTTTGACTTCCTAAGCAACCCATATCTACAACCCCAACGGCTTTGTATCCGCACCTTGCTTGGTGACCACTACACACTCGGTACCAGTACTACTAATTATTTCATACACCAGCGCGTCGAGCCAACGCCACCTGTCCAAAAGTTGAAATTGAGTGGCTTGGCCGGCAACCTACGATATGTCGCTGTAAAACAGGCCATGTCCTTTGCATCAGCTAAAATCCGCCCTTTCAAAGGTCAATACCAGCTGCGCCGGCCTCTCAGCCAATCAGATGCAACGATGAGATCAATATTCCGTCTTCACCTTTCGCGCTTTAGAGAGTTGAAGGTTTTCCTTTCTTCCTAGTTCACTCCGTGGAACTGCTAAATTTAAGGAACATGCTGAGAAACCAGACAAATCAGATGGCATCGGTTCTTTATACTTTAATTACGTATTGAACTATTTATAACGCAACAACAGTTTTTTTTTTTACGAACAAAATGCCTACCTAGAAATTTAACAATAATTTTTGGTAAACAATTAAAAAAAAAAAAAAAACGCGTGAAATTCCCAATTGCATCATGATACATCTGATATTTTTGCCTTTCGCCCCTTCCCGAATCAGGTCACCGTAGAATGACAGAAAAAGTCTTAATTCTGTGATACTTTGTTGCCTCAGTTAACACTGAGCTGCTTTGACAGAAAAAAGGAAGTGTGCCTTTCAATCCACCATTTCCGCTGAGGTAAACACTTACGAGGCACGATATAAGAATAAACAATTCACAATTAAATACGACTACTCTTCAACGGCGCATAAGATTGCCACAGCTACTGAACAATTAAACACAAACATTGAATTCAAAGCTACAGGGCGGAAAAACCGCCAGCAAGGCTTCTCGAACCATGTCAAGTAAGTCATGGTGAGAAGTTAAGCGAAGAGTCGACTCGACTAGCTTAATTCAAGTGGAATCCCTTCTCTCTTGTGGCTGCTAAAAGCTTCTCTCGCATGGCTTCTTCTGAAGAGTATTCCGGAAGTTTAAGGTAATGTACGCACGTATTGACTGACGGGAAGGAGCCATCTCCTTCACTCTCCTTTCGCACGACAGTGAGGCGGGGATGGAGATTGGCGAGGCCGCCAGGTGGCAGAGACGAGCAACCTGTAGTAAACTGGAGGAACGCCTGATTGGAGAGAGAATTACAAAATTTCAGTACCACATAAAACAGACCGACAAAGATAAATACACTATCAGTCATGCAAAAAAACGGTACACCCAGACAGTAAAAATCCTCTTACTTTTCTCTCGTCGCCAGTCATATTAACCAGCACATTCACAAATCTCTGGAACCCAGGTGCTTCCCGAGTGTATCCAAACTTGGGCTCAGTGTAGTTCATTATGTCTTCCCTGGTCCACTGAGGAACCTGCTCTCCGCTCAACATTAGCTGCAGTTCGTCTGGAGTAAATGGACTAAGTTTCTCCATTGGAAATACAGAGTTGAACCCGTCTGCAAAAGAAAGTTGATGAAAACGTTCATCAAGTGAAGCAACTACTGAATTTTCTTCTTTCCCTGTATATTTGTCGTTGTTTAAGTTCTCATTTTTGACGAGCGAATTCTGCCACTGCCTTGGCCACTCATGATGTTGCAGTGAATTGCGATTGTTGCTTGCAGCACCAAACAAAACAGCGAGATGCTCTACACTAACTTTAAGACTAACTGTCGAATATCCAAATAACTCGTAACAAATCAGCCCAAACAACTAGAGCAATGTCTATTAGGTGTCGAAGTTTTGCTTTAGTTCGCGCTGTGATTGTTCCAGAAAACTTGCACCACTCTCTAAACCAATAAGAAGCACACTTAACAACAATCACGACTCGCATGCCCGCGTTTTCCCGCGCTTTTTCCTTTGAGTTATCATTGGCTCCCCAGGGTATTTTCCTTTCCTCTGATTGGCCAATGTAATAACTTTGGTTTTGCTCTTACGACACCCAATCGAAAAGTGCTCTAAACAGTCTTCTTTTGTATCGTAAAATTTTCTTTCTTATTTCTACAATTCATGAACAAGAATAGTACCTCTAAATGAGTCCAACTGAAGTTGCACACCAGTGTATAGGCAAAATTCCTTGACAAGCTTTATGTATTCCTCAGCATTTTCTATCGTTAACATCTGTTACAAATGATAATATCGAGAATTTCAGTTACAAAACTAGAAAGGAAATTAAAATAAACGGGCAAAGAGGAGAAGTAAAGTTGAAAAAATGGGTCGAGTCTGGATAGTGGGGTGGGGTAAGGAACCAAGACGACCCGACACAAAATGAGATTATTCAGAAATCCAAAATATACTAAATTACAAAAACCTTACTGTAAGAGGATGAGGGAAAAGGAACTGAAGGTAAACACTTTGCCAAGCAATTCTTAGAGAACTTTCCATACTACCTCTCGCATGAATGAGCTCGTTTCCCCCCGGCTAAACGATCCAGCATTTTGATTGAACATCATGTTTGCCGCACACAAATTGGAGTGGCTATGAGCCGATCAAACATTTGCTCGTGAAGCCAAATGTTGGATGAAAAGGTTTGATCCAGATGATTCGAGGTGAGGCACGTAAATACAGAGTAACTAGCATCTAATTTCCCCTGAATCATACGTTAAAGTCATGAGAATAAAGGAAATGATCACAAACTAAAGAAGCTCTTGATAATTAGAAAATTCTCCTTGTTAGCTTCTTTGGAAATGTATAGAGAACTGTATGGAGAATATGCATACTGATGTTACGGTGTAAAGGGTTAATCAGTCAAACGTCAGTTTCTGGTTTAATCGCCTTTGTTCTCGCAATTACCTGATCTCCACCATTCCGTACCAGATCAACTTCGCTAAACCCGTACACTTTAGAAGACGGTGAAAATTGGAAAGTTAACCTGTGGATAAGAAAATAATTAATGGACTTCACAATTTCACCGATCATCACAATAACAAACAAGAACAAGTGATGTTAATTGGAAAAAAAGCAAAACAACTCTACAAACCAAAGCACGAGAATCGAGACAATTTACCACGAGAAAAAATATTACGGGTTGTGCACTTGGAGACCAAGCCCTCTAACCTTGTTTTAGTACAAACACTTGGTTACATTTCACACAACTATATTCTGGCCAAACTAGAAGATCGACTGTAACCGATATGGTTTATTGTGATACTGCTACAGTGGCCATCTTAAAGACGAAGGCGCGCTATTTAAGGAAGTCTTCCCTGGGAAGACCTAGGCTCATTTGTCACTCACCGTTGACGTGTGCAGGTCATTTTGAAATGCTGGTAGACGAACAAAAGGAGCTAATGAGATATCTATTGTTTTCAAGCATGGTGGCATGAGGTAACGTGCGAACC